TCTTGAGGGCATAATAATCTTGCTGTGGCTCTTACTGTTCTCAATATCGCAAGCCATAGCCCTGAACGTCTCTAATCTGGGAAGCAGTCGCAGCCTAGTTAATATTATTATTATTATTCACTATTGCATATTGTAAAATCAACATTCATGTAGAGCACAAATGAATTAGAAAGAAACTCTAGCAAACTTTTCAGCGTGCAGAATTTCACAGTCGAATCATAACTACAGAAATGACGCCTCCCAGTCAGAGACGCATTTGTACGTAAACTTCCCTTTATGCCTATCATTACTGAGTCGGAAGAAACGAAATCAGTGACCAGCCTTCCTATTGGTTTAAAAATCGGCCGGTGCTGATATTAATACGCTTAGCTTGTAATGAGAAGCCGATTTAGGGTACACCGAATAGAACTACACATACGCAGGACCATTATTCCTGAGCGCCAATGCCGAATTTCAGTGAGCGGTACTGCCTGAGATAAAGCGCGGTAAACGCTTTGTGAACATCTTATTTCAAACAGCAGGTATTTGCACGTTTACCTTGCTTGAAGCTTGCCATGAGCTAACAAAAAAACATTAAAATATCTTTACACCCCATCGGGAGTCGAACATACTTGTAAATGCAGCGGCTAAGTATACGCAAGTTTCAATCAAATGAGTCGGATTAAAAATCTAACATAGACCTTCGGGACATGACAAAATGTAGTATGTATTTTAGACCTAAAAGACTACGGCCTGAACCGCTTCGAAAGCCTTACTGGTTCGTGCCTAGTCGCTGTCATTCAAAGAGAAGCTTACACATGCATAGCACCAGTCTGCTGGAAACGGGCTACTTTATTAGCCTGCAACTAACACCACTGCTTTTATAATCGATACTACCGTCAGAACGAAAAGTAGTATGTTTTACTACAACTCTTAGAGGTCACATTTGGGCCTGTAAACAACTATAAATGAATTCTAAGCTCATTTCTTCTCTTTTTCGAGCACGCGAACTCTCCGCAGAAAGTAGCTTCCTATCATGCAGTTCGAAGCATCCGCATCAATCGCTTCAACAGCGTTACCAAAAAAAAATACACGTAGCGAGCTTTTTCAAAGTGTCCAGTGAGCACCTTCGTGGGTAAAGATGCGAACACCTGTTAGCATGAGGGAAGCATACGCATTCGCCTGACTGTGGGTGACACATACTAAGGCGGAATATATCAAGCTGCAATATGAAACAAGGTAATTTGCTTAAACAGTTTCTCAACTAAGGATCCTCTTACCATACAACACGTTATTTGCTAGGGTATTTATGAATCTAGAATAGGAAGAGCACCACAGGCTCATCTGCGTTCATTGGAGCGTCGATTTTATACTGGTTTTTTTGAAGAAATCAAAACGAGTATCGTACTGCTAAAAAATAAACACAATGGTATAAAATATTGCCGCTTAATGCATTGATACAATTATAACTGCTTGGTCATTTTCTAGAGGTCTAAGCGGAACATTCGAAATTTCTATGGACTTCTTATGTAGTAGTAAAAACGACTTGCGACAAAGTGGAGAAATCCAACTGTATTAGTAAATAGCTGACATGCAGAATGAAACCAGAAGTGCACGCTCTGATAATTAGATATAGGATTGCCACTTGGTATCCATGGGCAACATGATGTTCCGCGGCCGCGTTGAACTTGTCGCCAGTCCCTCCTACAGGATTAAAATACAATTCGCATGAACAGAATTCAACCTCTCTATTTACGGCCAAGAGACATTCGCCATGACTAGTTTAAAACAGCAACAAAACGAATATAATATTTCGCAGCTTTACCTAGAATTGTAATATTGCGTCGACCTACAAGAAGTTCTTGAACGAAGTTTCTAACTTTTAAGATTCGGTATATATTTCCACGCATGCTAGATTGGAGATACTCTTTAAACCTTTAGCTGATAGCTCGGCAGCAAGTTTATAATTTTTTACAGTTACAACTTACGTGAATATTTTTCCTTTTTATGCTTTTCATTAGTCAACTGAATCTAGTAGAAAAAATGTTTTCTGCGATTTCTTTTGGTCGGCACCAAGCATGATAAGCGCATCCAAATGCCGTTATTTTTTTATATATTACGTAAGCCCTTGCTGGATGGAAGAGAATATCACAGCATTATTTCCCATTATAATATAGTGGCCTGCGTTGTTATTACCTTTTGCAACGTGCTTTCGAAAAATATATTAGTCTAACGCGACGGATCACTAAAAAATAATAGATTATATGAGTTAAGACTGCTATGCCTCCTATTTATGATTAGATTACACTAGTGGCGCTTAATTTTCTAGTGTGAACATTTTAAAATTATCTTTGTTTTCCGGTAAAATGTGTTTAATTGTTATGTTAGGCTGAGTCCTTTCGCGAATCTTTAACTAGAATTAAAAAAAACATAATATACGATCAACGTTCAATCCATCGAGAAGATATCGACTACGTAAGCTCGATTCACTTACCTACACCGTAAACTATAGCCTGACTGTCCCTCATCGTATTTTTATGTCGGAGCACTATCTACCGATACATATTATTTTTCTAAATGAGGTGCTTGCCAATCTGTTTAGACTGTTAGAAAGTTTAGTGACAACTTCTTTTGCCCCTTTCTGACAAGGACTCTAAGATAATTATGTGCTATACTTGTCCATTTCCACATCTCATTTTTTGTGGTTGTCCATAGAATTCTTCTGCACCGACTGGCAAATAAACAAAGACGCATATACACAGAGGAATACCCTTTGGTCTTAGAACAGGTTACGTCCGCGCCGTATTGCAGCCATCGTTCACTGGCCTGCAAACGTATGGGGTACAAGTATTCAATCAGCCTCCTCTCGCACATAAACAAACTAGTCGTAACTCAGTTCTACTTGATCGGTTACCTCTAGATATTGCTTGCCAAAAGTATGGCTTGGAAAAAACGGTCGAATCATATATTATCGAAGCACAATATGTTCGATGTTATGAAATACATTTTTACGTAGTGAATAGGTAGCGTACTGTTGAGCTGGTTGTAAAAGAAATCACTGTGAGAAATAATAACTCGAGAAATTAATAATAAGAAATATGCATGAAGTACAGCGTTTGCCGTATCATATGTAGTTGGATGCAGAGTACATTAGCTCAAACTGCACCGTATATATAACATATTAGGCTGGTCAATATGAAATGATCAAAATGGCGAACTCTTAGGTTAGGACTTCTTTCGTAAGCATAGTACATAGTATGCACCCTTGTGAGCTATATATTATTGCCTCATTATACCTTATTGCCATTAGATAGTAACTTCCACTATTATAGAAGTCTAAAAAGTTTTGAAAGGCCAGCTCGAGACAATTCTTTTATTAGGAAGTTGCCGAGATTTTAAATAATAATCTGTGTGAGCTATGACAGAAGCTTGCTGCTGTAATACTAGGCTTCTACATTGAATTGTTCCTGGTAAAGCTATCCAGCAGAAAAAGCCGAATCGACAAGACAAAGTTATTCTGTTCCACAACGATGCTACATCATCTATACATGGCAAAAGCTCTTGCCTGTTTTCTGTCAAGACTGTCATACTTAACATTGTTTCATGAACACTGGTATCACAAAGTAGGAAATTCTTTCTCGCATAAAATTAGAATATGTCTAGGAGCATTGGAAAATAATTGTTGGGAAAACGAGTGGCGAAAAGAATGAAGCCAACAACAAAGAACAGCTATCATTAGACGGAACGATACTATTAATCATAAATGGATTTTTATCTGTATTCTGGTATCTTCATTAATCGTGTCCTGTGGTATAAAAATCATAATTGGCGTTTCTAGAACGAAATACAGATCAACAGCTAAATATACATACGCTGAAGCATACATTGAAGTGCTCCATTTAAGGTAACAAAGGTAACAGGTGTCAAAAACAGATCAAGCGGCGCTCGCTGTTCATAATGCATATCGTTACAACAGCTGTAAATATCTTTCGCTCCGAGGTGTTCCACCTCAAAGATCTAAACAGATCTGTACGTGATTCTATAAATTTCATGCATCTACTTTACAATCTTTAGAATTCATTTTTTTAGCTCAGGTTGTGTAGACTCGCAAACCGGAATGATGCTGCTACTCTACAGGGCGCTTAATTACTTTACAGATCCTTAAAAATATGCTTCAATAGTGATCTTCCGACTTCAAATATTAAGGTGTTACCTAAGTTGTATAAATACAATAACAATGTTTAGCAGATTAAATCTTAATATTGGTGTACACAATTAAGATCACTTTTTATTGTGAATCTAAATTGATATATAATATAATATTGAATGTACTCAACTGAATAAATGCATTTTTCAAGATACAATAAAATTATTAACATTAAGCGCATTAAGTGATAGCTAGTTAATGTTAATATGCAGATAAATACAGCCTGGTGCGTGAACTGTACGCTTGCTAGCTTCAGGGATATCTCGTGGTCTAGGTTCAGGCGCGGACATGGACACACTTTGTTTACTGCTGGCGGCCAGCCGCGTTATGGAATGTCTGGTGCCAATACAAGACTTGAAATATACAAGGTAGTAAATACGCTATGCATGAACAACGAGAATTTTGCTTTTCGCAGTACTCCCAAACAGCACTGTAATCGTCTACCTAAATTGATGTAGTTTGTCAAGTTCTATGTGGCTAGAAACAGATTGAACGAAAATACCGTGTTAGCTCTATTCTCTAATGTAATGTCAAAAATTCCTAACTGATACGTTTGGTGAAACGAGATTCTCTTCTATAATAACGAAACAAAAATCGTAAGTAGCGTATATTTTCAATAACTTTGAAATTCCCAACGAGCGTGCTCCACATTAGAACGTTCCTATAATTTTAATTCATTGTTGCACTATTAATCCACATCGAAAGCACATCATCAGCCGCACTAATATTTCTTGACATTAGAATCGCCCTCTGCTGACCTTAGTCGTCTGCTACAAGAAAATCCCAGTGCGCATTATTAGTAAACAAATGCAAGTAATAACACCCTTCGATGTACCTTGTGTTTCAACCGACAAACGAAGCGGGGCCTTGGTGAAACTGTTGTGACAATGTTTGTTATAACTATTACTAATTTTTGTGTATTCTATCATATATTGTTCCATATAAAAAGAATTCTGCAGTGAAATCAGAAGACGTCACTGAATAATACATTAAGTACAACTTAGTTTGCTGAGAGCTACAAGTTAAAACCCGTTGTGTGTTCGACTTCAACAACTTAAAATATAATAATCTGTTCGCAATAAGACCTCTACATATACTTACTGAATGCATTTTGCAGAATCTTTGGTTATATCTGTATAGCTGTAGTATTAAATTTAAATTTAAACTGCTTTAAGCCATTCAGACAAGGAAAACGAGTTACTAATACAACCTTTAAATTTTAAAGGAATTTTCTATGAGTTTAATTTGATTCTTTTAGATGAGAAAAGATATTCCGTGTTAAACCAACATTAATAGAAGAGCAATGTTAGTATACGACAAAATTATGCACTTTTGAAACATTTATTTCAGAACAAAAGATAATATTCATCATATAGATGTGTTTAATTCGGTGAAGTAAGATTAACACAGCTTAAGTGAAGGCGCCACTCAATGTCTCGAGAACGTGCAAAGATACGCTACAGGCAAGAGGCTTGTACAAAAGCCGATGTTTGCATGGTGTGTAATTCAATTTATCCATTGTATTTGTATTTTTTATATGTATTATATATTTACATATATATGTATATTTTTTTTCTGTTTTTTATTTTTTACAAACTTAAATTTTTGTTGTATACATATTATTCTGGTCGTCCGTGTTTCCGAAGCTTTCAATACTCATAGGGCTCCAAATGGAATTTATAAACAGAAACAAGCATCATGATTTAGTTCCACAATTATCTATGCGATGTAAGTGAAACAAGGTTTTCTGTTCATTTTTATCACCAGGCTTTGTAATAAAAATGTCAATAACTCGGCACGTCTAAATTTTTTTTTGAAATCTGGTACAGGATAAGGCGAGGCATTGTGGCGCTAGAAATTGGAAAATCTAAGTTCACAGTTCAGGAAAAAAGTTCAAGTAACATATGTTTCACGGTAAACATTTGTTTCACGCATTTTTTTTATAAGTGTAGAGTCATGTGCGATACAACTGTATACCTACTTTTGTTAAAATAAATATCCCGGAGCGAAAAATTCCTAATTAAAATAAAAATAATGGCAGCTAATTAATTTGGCTTATCTATGAGGCAGGGGCATAAAACATATGACATGAACAACACAGCCGGCAGCAGCACTTACAATATGGTAAATCATTTGTCGAGTGGCAATCGAATCAGCGGGATGTTCAACGCGCAGGCATCACTGAGCGGCGGTCAGAGCAGTTCCATTCGTAGACCAGAGGAAGTTCACGCACATGCGAACTCTTCTCCGAGCTCTGAGGATAAAAAATATGCTAATAAATGCGCATTTCTCAAAAGGTATTTAACGCAAGACCATTTTAGTCATTACAATTATAGTTGTTAGTGTGAAGTTAATAACTCTTTTATGATTAGAAGAGACCCAATGTATATCCTTTGAAGTAAAATTTACTTTTTAAACTTGATACCTTTATAACAGAATGATAGGTGACTTGTTATGGGAAAACTCGATACTGTTCGAGCGACTTCAGCGGAAGTTGACTGAGGCCAACTTTCGCAACGAGGAACGCCGGAGGTTAGTAAGAAAACTTGTGGCTAAAGTGAATCGCTCGGTGCTCAATCATCGAAGATCTCTGCCGCCCTGCATTGTCTCAACTGCGGGTTAGTTTTTGGATG